TTTTGATTTGATGAAACATCGATATAAGCTTACGAGCTGATCATGTTTGTCTACACTACCAATCGTATTATTATAATGTCCTACTATTTCCGGGTCACTCGATGTAGACATATTTTTTGTTTATGCTGTCCCGTCTTTTTATCGTATCAACTATTCCTGAGGCCACAACATTTGAACATAAATTTATKGGTTTATTGTCGTACCATTTTACTAGTCCTAAATTTACGTCTGGAATGTCCGAACTTATTTCAAATGTCGTCCCCCTTCCCATTTTTTTCATTTCTTTATCCGACAAAAATCCAAAAAATTTTTTTAAATCATCGTCGACTTCGATCATATTTCCTTGGTATAAGATTAAATTATACACTAAACCACTTTGGCCGCATAATAGATATGTTTTTATTCCCTAAGGATTTGGCTTACCTCGTTAATATATTGCTTTACTGATAAATGTCCATTGAACGGAATCATCTGATCATTAACCGATAAGTTTCTTTCCATTGGAATTTCTAAACATATTTTTTAATTATTTCAAAAAAAGGACGAATTTAAAAAAATGTATCTTTGTTGTTTTTCGGAATCTCCATATTGTCTACAACGTGAAAATGTGTACGAAAACTAAAAAATCGGTTTCTGGGCATAGTTTTGGCAACTAAATTTATATAGGTATCTTTTTCCCAATACATGTGTACTCTAGGCATCTTTAAAGCACCCATAACCATATGTATTGCAATAAAGTATCTAATTTCAGACGAAGTACTAGGTTTGAATCGTGTAGAATTTTGTTGAGTTGCGTATAAATTAGTCATTTTATCAAATTCTTTACCATCAAAGTATTTTGAAAAGTAATATATAGGATCGTACAAATAGGTTGGCGTTTCGGATTCATTTAAATCATTTAAATTAATTGAAAGTGGGGTAAATGGTTTTTGCTGCCATTTAATTTGGTTTTTTTGTAAAGTGAAATATTTCGAATTACTAATAGAGTCAACATTAGCATCTTCCTCAATGTCCTCCAAATCGGATAAAACGAGATCCTCTTCTTCGTCAAACTCAGCTAGTAATTTATCAATTTCTTCCACATTTTCGTCAACATCAATGTCTTCTAAACCACTGAAGTCTGACATGTCTGCATCGAGTAACTCGACTAATTCTCTGTCCGTGAGGTTTTTACTCATTATAGAAATGTTTTATTTACTTATTGTTATAAAAAAATTGATTTGTAACTATTTGTGTAAAATACGTACATGTAAGCAAAAATGTATGCGTATGTYGCGTAACGACAAATACGTTCTGTACGAACTGCCAATAATAATAATAATCGAATCATCGTTATTATTGTGAGAYGGCGATTCCCGTTGTACATTGCATTGTACATACATAGTATRATATTCTATTTTTAAACTATTGATTGTATTGAAACGAAATTAGAGAAAACAAATAAAGCAGTGTGTCAAGAACACAAAGAAAAATTCCCAATATTTTGGTGTAATCAGAATAATATTTAGCAAAAAAAAAATTTCATGGCAAAATGTACGACAAAATATTTCCATTTTTTCTGCTTATGAACTTAATTAGACAGTTGGTAACAGTGCTATAATAAATATATACATATTTCGAATTCTTTGTATCATAACAAATTCAACGAAATCGATACCGTGTGTTCAACTCTTATCATTTAAATATTAAAAATGGTTGTACGACACTTGGGCGTTAGACAATTGGGCGCGGACATTTGGGCACGGAAAATTGGGTGCTTGACAATTGGGCGTAATGAAAATTAGGTGCCGTACATTTGGGTGCAAGAACATTTATTTTTTAATTCAAATTATAATAATAYTATTATGCAATATATCTACTTAAGAATATTAAATCTACACAATTTTTAATAATTTAATTTATAATCAATAATTATTTTAATGAACACAAGCATTTGATTAGATATATTAAAGCTGTTACATTAATTAAAAACTGTAAGCACAGTTTTGTCTTACGAAAAATAAAAATAAGAAAAAATCATACATTTATACTTAAACATATTGACATTATTAATACATTTATTTATTGTGATAGATTTTGAGCAATGYCTTTTAGAAAATCGTTTATATTGCGGTTTTCAAAATCATTACAGATTACTTTGATTCTAGAAGCTGTGTCTTTATATTTTTTAAGTTTTTGTCTTGGTTCAGTACCAGCCAAAAATTGATGCATTTTTAAACGATTAAGTTTTTCTTCTGTTTTAGCGCTTCGATAAACTTCCATATCGAAGGATGGAGTCATTTAATGTTGAATTAAATGAATTATGCCACCCTTACCACCCTACTGAATTATTCGTTTTAGGAATATCATATTTAACGAGATTGTAACAATTCCATAGCTCTATTGGAAATCTAGTATTTCGGCGTTTTTTATTACGACATAATTTCCCAATCCACGTA